AGAGCAGCTGGTAGTTTCGAACTGCTTACCTTTGGGTTCGCAACCCAATTCGTAACCACTATGCTACCAGAGCTCCTTGAAATAATATAAAAATAAAAATGAAAAATTTTAATTTGTGGTCACTGAAATTTTAATTTCATATCATTTTTACATACCATGAAACAATCTTTTAATTTTTTTTTTTTTTAACCATTGAAACATGTAAAAGAGCCATTCTTATCTCATGCGATTCCGACCCATAGCAACCCTGTATAGGGTTTCCAAAGAGCAGCTGGTGAGCTTTAACCACCAACCTTGCAGTCCAAACGACTTTGCAGTTTGAAGCATTAGCCCACAAAGCCACACCAAGACTCTTAGCTCGTTGTTGTTGTGAAGTGCCATTGAGTCAATTCTGACCCATAGTGACCCTGTATAGGGTTTCTAAGGAGTAGCTGGTGAGCTTGAACCACTGACCTTGCAGTTCAAATGGTTTTGCAGTCTGCTGCATTAGCCCACAGCGCCACACCAGGACTGTTAGCTCATGTTGTTGTTGTTGTTAAGTGCCGTCGAGTCGGTTCCGACCCATAGCGACCCTGTACAGATTAGGCATGACCTATAGACTATATGGCTGGTCAAATCCTGACTTAGTTTCTCCTGTACTTCTCTCATCGCTGTACCAGAAACTTTCCTGGGCTGGTTCTTTCTCAACCTCCAACTCTATCCAACCAATTTCCATTTTCACAGATTCACTACCACAAGCATTTGGTTCTTGTCATACCATCTTCCATTCTTCTTTTTAGAACTAAGTTCAAATCATTTCTTGATGTTAATTTGGGAAAAAAAAAATGTTTCTGAAAAACATATGTGCTGTTCTACCTAGAAGAAATGTCCTTGACCTCATCTTGAAAATCTTCTATTGAAATCTTCCTTAATAATACAGAATTTCTGGAGACATGGAAGCTAGATGAGCCCCCTGAAACTATGGCCCATAGATAATCTTCAACTATAAATTTAATAAAACTCCCTGAAGTCTTCTTAAAACCAAACAATAGTTGAGCTGCCTTAGGCATTGTGCTTATTTAACATCTGCCTTATCTGCAACTGAAAATATAAGATAGGAACCTTAGGAGACATTGAGTTTATGTTAATGAAGAAGCAACAACTTTGAAAGGAAGGTGAATTGGTTATACAACTAGAAGAATGTAATCATTGTCACTGAAGTGTACATGTAGAATTTGTTGAATTGGTGCATGTTCCCCTATGTATATTCTTAACAACAATAAAAAAAAATAAAATGAATTACATTAAAAAACCCTCCCTTACCTGAAAGAGAATCTTCTCCCCAGACCATCATTTCTCTCACCTGCTGTCAAATCCAAAAGTCTGCTTTTCATATGTGGCCCATTGTCAATTTTTTTCTCTATCCCCATTGTTTACCACCAACTTGAGAGTCTCTATCATGTTCTCCTGAGCTGCTGTGTTGTTTTTGGTGTGTGCATAACTGTGTGTTTTTCTTGTTGACCTTTCTGCCTCAGGATCCATGAAAGTCTTATCTAATTTTATTGTCACTGCAATATCATTTTTTCAAAAAGCAAAGTTTTAGCAATGTTATTCCTCTCTTTCAAAATGGTTACTGTCTTCCTAGTGCGGCTTGGTAATATAAACCCTGAGCAGCTAACCTCAATATTGACAGTTCAAAACCAACAATCACTCCTTGGAAACTCTGTATAGGGTTGCTATGAGTCAGTACTGACTCGATGGCACTAACAGTAACAAAATCCATTATAAAAACTAGTTCCAAGACTCACTTAACTGTTCAGACATATGTTTCATTTTCTTGTAGACTTGCTATTCCCTTCAAATTATGATTTTCACATACCCTAGTGTTTTCCTGCCTTCTGTCTCTCCTCATAACAATCCCCTTTATGATGTCATACTTCTGTTACTTTTACCACATTTATTGGAAATCTCATTCTCCCTCTATTTCCTTTCATAAACTC